ACCACAGCTAACAATTATCTCCGTGTGCATGTCATTCTCAGCAATAACCTCCCCGGCATATACGACCCATCTGCTGTCTCTAACATCAATCAATTCATTCACGAACGTAGAAGACTGGAAACAACTTCAGAAGTAATCACGACGAAAATTTTAACAAAATTACGCAATAACATTAAGGCACGAAAACAACGAGTAAACACAATTAATCCAAAATCACAAATTCAGAAGACACACCACACGTATACACAAACAGTTCAAACAACCTCGCGGATCATGTCTTGGTGGAATTCCTTTGAAGAATTGCAGGACTTACACCAGTACACCTGCAACCCTTCACAGGTTGACGATTGTAAGTTGAAGAATGTCCGGACAAACGAGATTAACCAACAATTACAATAATTGGAACTCACACAATTATTTAACACAAACATATGTACAATCAACACATCAAAGTGGTGGATTCTGCCTTGACGAACTACCTTGAAGAACCGTAGGACTTACAGCAGTACGCCTACAACCCTTCTCAGGTTGACGTCCCAGGTTGGAAAATCGTCGTTAGGTTTATATGCTGACCTCCTTCTATCATCTATATCCTCAACTCTGAACGGTGACACGCCCAAGTCATTGCATCGTAGGATATTGCTGACTAACATACATATGACGTATCTGACCTACCAAGCGTAGTCACAGAGTAATTTACACCAAAGATAATAGCATTCAGATAGTAACTTGAAACTAGAAATTCCCTTATCTGTGCAAGTCAGTTTAACAATTACCCTGTCATACACACTTGGCTTATCCTCACTAAACTGACCATTGACTTTCATCTTTCCAAACGGAGCGATACTAGCATAGTCATAGCATAAAACACGTGAGTTTATTGACGTCCCTTTCATTGTGGATGACAACACCAACGACAACTGATTGATACCAGTTGATGAACTTATTGGTGGATCAGAAGCTGTTGTTGTTCGGCTTTTAGAACGTTGTCCAACTGCACGATTACCACCGCTGCTATCTCTTATGATTATCTCTGGTTTAGCACTAGCGTCTGTCGTTAGGTTGACTACACGCTGATTATTTACACTGACTGTCTCACAAGTATCCACTACCTTCTACCACTGCATCTGCCTTTAATTCTACTTCACGTTAACAGTGTACAGAACCTTTGTTCAACTCAGCAGTAGTAGACATTCCGTTCATCTCATCATGATCAACCAAAGACAAAAGTGTACTGTCATGATCATTATCACAAATATTCACTTTGCTGTGGTCCATCTGGTCGACTTCATCATTTTCAAATTCTTTAATAACAGCAATAGATAGTTTGGGTTCTTCCTCATAAATCCTTATAGGCTTTATAACTCTACTCTGACTAGTAATACCTTATAAACTTGTGGAGTCAGAACTCGACTCTGAAACTGTAACTCTCTTCTCCTGCACAAACTGCGGTGTCGTCCAGGACACTCTATTCAACAATGGCTTACCAGTTGGAACCACAGGCTTCTTGACCACACCGTTATCGTCACACAATTCGGAGTCAGACCTTGATGAAGCTGATCTCACATTCAGCTTATCACTAAACTTGCTCACTTCTTCACAGTTCACCTTTGTATGCACTTCTTGCAAACGGACGAAACACGACCGCGTTTGTCTTGCAGCCTGAAACCTATCTGTTAGGGACGCCCCACGAAGCTGTCAAACTCATTGGGCTTGTATGGATTACTAGACACCCCCTAAAGCTTTCTCGATATGCGCTTCGCTGAGACCCTTTCGTCATAAATGATTGCGTTTCGCTCTCAGACTTCTCTATTCTAGAGGTGGGATACAATATACTGGCAAACTCCCTCATAGCTTGATTGACACTATCTGTCACTAATCTCAGTATCTCGTCGAACCCTTCCTCTAAAACTTCGTCCTCTATACGAAAGCTTATGTTCACCCATTTCCTTTGTAGTCGAGTAGGTAGTCGTCTTTCTATTACCTCTATTACGAGACTTGAGTTCAGATCACTCATGCAATTCATCGAAATCAACGTATTCTTGTAAGTCATCAGATTATCCAAAAACTCAGAGTGCCTTGGATTCGTCTTGTAATTGACCTTTAACAGCCTTGAATGCGTTCCTTACAATCATTGAAGGTCTTTCGAACCTTTGGCGCAGTATACTCACAGCCTCAGAGTATCCTTCGTTAGGGGGCATGAACTTTCACCACTGCGTAGCTCTTGAACCAACTCCAGTTCAGTACCTCATCAAATACATTGACTTCATTTCGTCACTTAAAAAATAACCACTCGACATGACCTCAAACTCCTTCACAAACTGTCGGTAGTTGGCTGGGTTTCCATCAAAATACCGAGGTTCAAACTTGAGGAGTCTTAAAACGATACTATCCCCAAACGGCGAAGCGTGAACATCAGGCTCATCATGCTGAGCATCATGCATATCATTACAGTTAACAGGCAAGTGATTGTCACTTACCTTTCTGTCTGCTTCCATGGTGCCACGTCACTTCTTTGACCCAAGCATTATCCCACGTCACCAAAGAATCCAAATTGCGTTGATAATCCGTGTCCAAAAAGAAGCTGGCTGCGGATCCAGTAAGTAATCCCAGAAGTTCCCGAAGGCACTCCAGAAATGAATAAAATCTGCCCCAGAAGGAGATCCAGAAAACGAATAAAAACTGTCAAGGAACTTACCCTAAGTTCCTGTTTTTACGGAGACTCTCTGCACCGATAAATACTATGTACTTTCTTCGACTTTAACTCCAAAACACCAGTATTGTAAGAAGGAAGTTATATTATTTGGCAATTAAGGCGGAGAACAGTAAAAGTCTATAAACAAATGTTTTATACAAAATTATGAAGTACTTTTATTCGTTTTGGTCGTCCTCGTCGAACTTGTACACGGTTGAACTATTCGCGCCTTTGAGTTGCCCACCAGTGGCTGCCAGTTTCAAAAGCAAACGTTCAATGTTCGTCTCCATCGACACTACCCATCATGTGATCATTTTCTTCATCTTTTATACTTGGTTCAAATTAGAAATAATGAGAACACTCTCAGTATTTGCTGACTATTGATGAAGGCATCGGGAAAGTCTTGGCGTTTAGAGAGGAGAGTTGAAAACCAGTAGCGTGACCATTTATACATAATGCCATAGACACGTGAATCTAAGACCTTTCGACACAGGCGACACTTTTTTGGGGATTGACCACGAGTTAAGAGAGAGCAGACTATTGTTTTGTAACTTGCGTTTAGTATTAGAGTCAAAGGTCCTGCTGATATTATGGTCCTATACATCCTACTGTCTTTCATGTCGTTCACTTTCCAGCTACGCAAGTTAGCGACAGTTAACTGCCGATATCAAACTTCGGAATAATTCTCAGAAAAAAACCTGGTTTCCTTTATTTGAGGCCACGGGGTTCGCAAGTGGCACAAAAGGTGATTCTGCGGTCCTCAGTTTCTCTGGTATTTATCAGAGAGGTCATGACAAATTTGATTTGCCAAAGCTTCACTTATGATTATGAGGTTCTAGGTTTATCAGAACAGGCATAAAACAGCTCGACTCCATTCTTCCGAAAAAATGTGGCAAACCACAACGGAAAATATTCCAAGGCACAGAGAATGCCTGCAGTTCTTTACATAGCCACCACAGGTTGCTTTTACTTGACGATGGCCGTAAGGTAGAGAGAAGCCTAATTCATACTAACATTTTTGAAAGGTTGTTTATCGTGGAAAGTGACTAAATGAAAACTCGAGCCTACACTAGTTGCCTTCATATATATTCCGAGTGTACGACAAACAATACGCAATTCCTACAGACACTCAAAATCGTTGATAGGGAACACGCGAGTTAAGTTCACTAATTAAGAAAATGTTTCGACTGGGTGGAAAACAAGCGTCGTCGCTTTTCCTATCAAAAAAGGCCACTGCTTTTACATCCTTTAAACTGCAAATGTCCTTAGCATAAATCGAGGACCTCTAGCTTCTCCCCAAAACATAGAGGAAAGCGTTAACTAAGTATTAACAAACAAGACAGTTTGACCTCTTAGAAGATTACTAGGCCTCGATCAAGGCTCACTGAGATTGTGCGTCGGTGGCACAGTGGTTAGGACTCTTGCCGAACATGCACATGGTCCGAGGTTAGATTCCCTGCCGACGCACACTTAATATCTATGGTCGGTCTGCAAAATTTGGGTTACCGATATGACATGCAGAAAATTCCATACTTGTACCAAGAATACAATGTGGAATCAAGCTGTAATTAAAAATAAAAATAAATAAAAGATTCTTTGATGTCAGTAAATCTTCACCACGTTAATTGTAGGCGTATGCACGGGGTTACTGTGATGGCGTATAATGTCACTTAAACTTCGCTGCATTTCAAGGGATTTCGTGAGATGCTTCCTGGGAAAGGAAGATTTCGTAGTGATAAAGACTTTATAGGCCGACACTACCCCCGCGACTAACTACCCATACTAGTAAAGACTGAATGAACAACACTTGAGAATTGTGTAAATATTTCCGAGACACAGGATTGTGAACCATGGAATTCTTCTCTCAAGGATCTTATGAGAGCATATTCTTGAGATGCTTCAAAAAGTGCAGTTAATCTACTGAGTTGACATTAGTGGGAAAGCTGGGCACTGTGAGAACTTACGTTTTTCTAGATCGCATCATCATTTAGGGAGGCAAGCCAGCTAACCGCTTTCATTCACTTCACTTGCTTAAGCATTCATAAAAGCATTTTGATATCGTGGACACATATAGTGTTTTCAAGCGTCACATACACAGAACTTAAAAAACAGTTCATTGTTTGATGCTGGATGGCTTGCAGCATTATCTCGGAAGCCCTAGACTTAGGCTCCATACTTATCTATACTCGTCAATAAGGAAACTCGAAGCAGACTATAACTCACGTCACTTGATGCCGCCATCAGAGTCTTCACCATTAAACTCTTCGGGCTGTGCCCGACCATTCGTATTTCTTCCCCATTTGAGAGTTTGAAGTGAAACTACCAAGTGATACAGACAAAACAGCTGCTTCTGTACATGCCTTCAAGAGGAGCTGAATTTTCATAAATATGATTTATAGAGCTATCAGTGCGATGTTAACAACCCAAGGACATAATTGCCGAAAATTGAAGTTAGAATAGTGACCTCAAAAATTATCACGTGCTTTGGTTCTGTACACTACGGATGCTTTCAGCGTTATGCAGGAGAAGCATTCTGATTAACCGCCTTTCACAATGTAGAAACACATTCAAAAGCATTCATTCTAAATTGAAAATCAATGCCAAGCCTTTCAAATATAGTTCCTACTTTCTCTTCACTGTTAGTACAGGATGTTTCCTTGGCTTCAGTGTGAAAGTGCAACGTGAATTTCGTTTCCCTACTGTAAAATGTGAAACTATTGTGGTAGATTATCATGAAGTGACACCACCAGAGACCAGTGGTGTATTAAACTATCTTGGAACACTAATACTACCTGACTTTGTGTATTTACTCGGTGCCATAATGGTACATGTATTCTCAACCATATCCTTTTATTGATAGGGTGCTTTTGTGGCTGCTATTATGAACGTTTATATTCCTTTGTACCTCGGTGACTTTGTTAGCGCTCTGTCAAAGTGTGCAGCTAGTAGGGAAGGATTTATGGCAGCCGTCTACATCCCTACACTTAGATTATGTTCTTCCTATATTCTTCAGGTATCGTGATCTCTGTCCATTTTACTTTCTAATATTTATTATTTAACTGCTTTTTGTTTAACGTGGAGCATGACGTAATACATTTTTCTCGGGAGCTGTGTTTATTGGGTTGTCGGTACTGCCAAGTACATGTAACTAAGTAAAAATGAATCGTTAGTTGGATATTGTGAAATATAAAAGAAATCAGCTAAGGTGTTTGGGATGAATACTGTAATCCATTTCAATAATTCAGAGGCTGTAGCAAACGATTTTGTGTTGGGATGTTCGAATTTACATATATGTGTTATATCTCTTTTTATACTGTAAGGAAGTCGAAAATTCCAATTCTTGACTATTTCTTGCGAGGGTATTCTATTCATGTTTAAGCATAAACTTGTCAAAGTGGTTAAAACAGTTGACTAAAAGCCCTAAGAGTAGATTTCATGTCAGGTATTATTTTTAAGCTGTATATTTCGTTAGTGTGTTCCTGTCTGTATTTATGTTACCAGCTGTTTTAGTTCTACATGATAATTACTATGTCCTTTGTGACTTTCTAGTCAGTGTCCACATTTTTGTACATTGGACTTTTGGGATCTGTCGGAGAACGCATGGCCAAACGTATGCGCATTGAATTGTTTCAGAAATTAATCTATCAGGATGTGGCCCGTTTCGATGTGCATAGTTCTGGCAAACTAGTAGAAATGTAAGTTATACCTTAGCGATTTGTTATTAGTTAACTTAAAACTGACATGCGTGTGATGTAACTTAATGTTAATACAAATCTTCATATAGGTATTATAGTAATATGAATGTGTTCCTAATATCTGAACCTGAGTTCAAAGACGGACCCCTTATTGGACCCAAGTATTAAAACTCTTATGAACTCAGACCTTATAAGAAAGAGTTTGACTTAGTCCCGCGCATCTCCTGGTTTATGGTGTAGAGTCTGGATGCAGCTTTTTATTAAACTTATATGAAGCCATTTCATCATGTTTCTATATCGTCTGTTTTTAGTATTGGGTCCGATGTCCAAAACTTTAAGAGTTCATTCAAACAATGCATTTCACAAGGTCTACGTAATGGCATTCAAGTGAGTTTTCATTGTAATTGATTATTTTTTTTCGAAAATGAACATGAGTGTATAATAAAATAGAAGTACAAAATCTCTTATTTCCTTGTAAATAATCATATTTTCTTCTTATAACAACGGATGTCTGGGAAGCAATTATTACTCTTCACTCACTTTCATTAGGCAAAACTATAGTCTGTTTCATGTTCTATACTCATTTAGCTGCAGTGAGGAGAATTTAATCTTGTATTTATTGATGTAAATTTATCGGTTGTCTAACTCCTTTGATTTTCTTTCTTGACTGACTAGCCACTGTCCGGTCACATTGTATGAGTACACATTTCGTAGACAGGTGATTTCGTCTCACTGAATGTAAGATACAACAGACGGGTGGTAATGAGCAAATAATGTCAGTGTCATGAGCCCTTGTTACCCGACCAGATGGCAGCATTTTAGTTTGCCAATGGTCTAACGTTTAATCAGTCAGAAATGCCTTCGTAATAGTCGTATCTAGACAGGCAGGAATCTTCAAGCTATTTTACAACGTCTTCGATGATTATAAATCTGTATTTAATGATGATGATTAATATTCGGCTCTTAGTTCTAAAGTTTACCTGTTGGAAAGATTCTGTGATAACATCTAGAATACGTTAGTCTTGTGAGGGTCAACCGTTAAGTGTGATATTATTACAGAATAAAGTGAAGATCACTTAATACTATGATTGATTCAACTTAAATAGTTTTATTCGGAGTGAGAACCCCACCACATCAAATTCATTCACCTAAGATAAAAATTTCTATTATAGTTCATTTTGTTGGTGAAAATTGCTGTTTTATATAAAACATACATTTTTAGTACTTGATATGTATCCACATATATATATATATATATATATATATATATATATATATATATATATATGTGATGGTGATCTCTTTTTCTGTTGCTCGCTTAGTCTGTGACCATTTCAGTTTGATGAACCTGTCTCCTTTAACAATGTATATTCCCCTTATATTATATATAATATGAGTGTTTGTTGACAGTCCGTTGCTTGGTGACATATATCCATATATGGTGGTTGTTGACATGTCTGCTATATTTTTGCTATGTATATTTGGATCGACACTCCATTATAATTAGCCATTCATGTTAAGACTGTCTATTGATTTGTCCACACACTTGTCTGGATGGTCATATATATTTTGCTCACACAATCTTGTGTGACTTACTTTGGTGTGATACCACTTTTGCACTCCTTGTGTTTGGAAAATAGAAGTATCATCGCAAACCTAGTGGTCTTCTGATTTCCGCCTTCTTGCATCAGGACTATTAAATTCTCGACCACTACATAGCAATAATTTGGCGACGAGTACATAACAATTTGGCGACGGGGAAAACCACTATTAACCACTCAGCAGCAGCAACATAACAGTACTAACATATAGGGTATACACTTTGTTTTATAAACAATGCCATAATTTTGGATTTGTTGACGGTATAACTTTAAAGCTATTGGTCCCTAAGTCATTAGCTTTTAAACAGTTTAAGCAATTAAACTCGACCAATAGGTTGGAGGTGTAGTCTTTATTTTCACGTTTTATTAAGTTGTGCCTAGATAGCTGAAGTTAGGATACCAAAGGGAACGAGCGTGAAATAAATTTAAAACACATTCAAACTAGTAAGGAGTATTCTTTTTGCAACCTCATTTCAATGCTGTACAGGGGTATATACTTTTCTTAAAGGTCCGAGAAACGCCTATTGGGGGCAATTGTTCATATCACTTGGTAACAAAACATACGAATTTATATATCAATCAAAATAATAAATGATGTAGTCTAAAAATAATAATTGATGAGTATCAGAAATAATTGTTAGTCGGTGGCGCAGCGGTTAGGACGCTCGCCGACCATACACATGGTCCGGGATTCGATTCCTGACCGACGCACTCCTTTGCCTCTCTAAGCCAGAAATAATTCTGGTAAAGACGAAAGGTTGGGTATGAGACTAGCAGCCCTATCCTGTAAAATAAACACTGCTACAGAAACTTCAAGCCACTAGCTTGAGGCCCTATGACCCACTGGGAACGTGAAGGAAAAAAAATCAGAAATAATTACCACCAAAAACTACAAATGCCTGGAAATTGGAACATTATTCAAAAGAGTAAGCAACTCAGAATATTACCATATTAGATGAGTTAATTCGATATAACAAACAGTTATACATTAATAATTAACTGGATGATGTTTCGAGCACAATTTATTGCTCATAATCCTACGAAAGAATTGATATGATTGCGAACAATAAATTGTGCTCAGAACGTCATTTAGTTATTATTATTATTGTTATTAATACTGTCTTATTGTGTTTTGCATCAAAGGAACTTATCTGACAGAAATATCTACCATAGTGTTCGAGTTCTACTCTTAAATGAATTAGGAATATCTACAAAGTATATTTTAAAGTTAAGAGTTTGAAAGAAAACAATGAGTGAAAACGAACCAAACGAATTATGAGTTACACATCAAGTTATTGTACGAGTTAAGAAAATTGGTAGGGAAGTTTAAGGTCAAGGTAGTAAAAGGGATTGGATGAACCGCTTCTGTATACGCCGTCCAGGGGTTTCCTTGTGTATTCATTAAGACCTTCTACTATGGACTGAAGATGTAAGTAAAAACCCCCTCAAACGATTTGGGCTTACCTAGAGTATGAAGTAAATTTCTATCAGGATATTGCTCACAACGCAACTAGTTGTCATAATTGGTGGATGGTCCTGATAAATCTCTTTTATTGTAAGGAAAGGCATTACATTATCATAGACCAAACTAATTTTTTTAATGTTAATTGAAACTGGTCAGTATTACTAATATAATAAATTATCGATAGTTTTATTTTATTCATTATCCTATAGTACAGAAAAAGGTGTTTTTGTCTAAAATGTGATGAATTGTGTATTGCAGTCTCTATATCCTGCGTTATTAGAATTTAGTCATTCTTCACAGACTTTTCATGTACTAAATAATGAGCCACACAATTACAGTATGTAGGCTAATATGATACTATTCAGTCGTCTGATCTGAAGTGAATGGAGAAAGATTCAAACCTCAGGGCTGACTGACTGACTGAGAGCCAGTTAATCTTACTTTGAAATATCTGTTTCATATTAGTTTTTTTTTGCTTAAAAAAAGTTTGCTGACCAATCGAAAAAGGGGTGTGTGCTTACTACTAATCATTCGGTGAATATAAGTTTTCACCGATACAGAAAGTTGAACATCGTTTCCAGTTTGCTGTTGTTCAAAAAAAAAATAAAATTTGATATGGTTTACAATATAGTAAATAAGCGCTATTGCATTCGTATACTTTTCATCGTTGTTTTACAGGTTGTTGGATCTGTATTCGCATTACTGAGCATATCTCCTACTCTGACAGCTGCTCTTTTGGGTTGTTTACCATGTGTTTTCTTGATTGGAAGTTTAATGGGTACTGAACTTCGTCTGCTTAGTCGAGAAGCTCAAGCTCAGGTTAAGTTGTTTTTCTACCTATAAACTGGTGTGCTGTTAGATATGAGCATAAAAGTATGTTTTTATAGGGTGTTGGATACACTATGTTTTGGGTTTTTAGAACATCCTTTGCATCTCACTACACAAATGAATGATAACCCACCCATTGCTATATATTTTAGTTGTATCGTGAAGTCTTTATTCAGAATTATGACCCCATAAACGACTTGGTATGGCCTAAGGTGAGTATGTGGTGAGAGCCAGCTGCTAGCCAATTGGTAGACATTAATCTACGTCAATGTCTAGGTCACTAGTATTGACCGTGAGAAAATATGAACAAGGCTGATTCAACAACCAATCACAGCAGACTTAACGTGGGCAAATATGATTCGCAGATAGATGGTTCCATTTTCCGAGGTTACCCGAAACAACCGATCAGAAGCCTGTGTTTGTCTACTTGAATAAGCTATAATAATATACAGGAAATATATATAAATACGTGTTGATTTCCGTAATAAAACGATCTTTTGCCGGCTCTTGTCTTCTGTTGTTACAAGTAGGCTCCGGTCTTCCTCTCGAAATGCCCTTTCTTAGAACCAGTGGCTGGAGACCATCGGTGATATGCCTTGAAATTGTTCTCAATGACGCAGATGCATTCACCCTTTGTGATCTCTCATATCCACTGAAGAGTAGAATTTGAACCCTCTCCCACCCTATTGTGTGGTTGTGTGTTACTGCATGCAGTGCAATCTCTGAGCTTTTTTCTAAATTACGTATCTTCTCGGGGTCAACCATTATTCTTCTTGACCCCGAGAAGATAAGTAATTCAGAAAAAAGCTCAGAGATTGCACTGCATGCAGTAACACACAACCACACAATAGGGTGGGAGAGGGTTAAAATTCTAAAAAGTAATCTAGGTAGATGAAGACAGAGGTAGTTGATTACTGAATCCTTGTTCATCGAGTGAGTCTACAACCCAACACATGCAATAGAAATGATTCATCACTCATACCCGAAATATGAAAAATACTACTACCAATCAAATCAAGTGAAAAGCAATGGAACTATATAAATGAAGTTAGGAAGTCGTGTGATTAGATTACCTTGATATGATTATGAGCCATAAATTGTGCTCGAAATGTGGTCATCAGTAAACATTACTGTATAACACTGTGAGACTTTATCAAAACAAAATTTACCCATAATGGTATCTGTTGACTTTTGATTGCACTAAAGAGCATGTTGTCTGACAAACGGGAACCAACTTAGCAGCTGCAGAATAGGTTCTAGCTAGTGACATATTCAACCTCTGTTGACTATGACACCATCTTATTGTGCACAAACTGTTGTTCTTGCCTTTTGTTTTTTCAGCGAAGGAAATTCTCTTTTCAACGATTTCATTTTCATCACTGTATAATCATATATATATATATATATAAATAACTAACGGGGTAAAAACAGGTCAGCCTCAAGTTCAAAAGACAAGTGTGGAATAGTAGATCCAAAAACAAAGTGTATCCGTATATATGAAAGCGTTACTATAATATGTATGACGATGTACATATAGCCTCTGTGTGCAATGTCACCAAAGCGGTAGACTCGACAAAATGCTAGAATAAGAAGACATAAAATAAGAAGAAATAAAACAAAAATGCAAAACAGAATACAGAAGGAAACAAAAATGTTTCGGAGCAAATGAAATAGGAAAGTCAAGATCATGGTAACGAAAGAGATTTTACAAATATGTTTTTGTACACAATAAGGTTCGACTTTATATCTCTCTTTGTCCCTCTCTCTCTTGATTAACGTTATCAGACTTTATTGAAGGATGTATCGGCTGCTATGTGCAGAATATCTGTATGTTCTCCTTTCTTGAGGCAAATTGGCAAGTCTTCCTGAACGTGGCAACGAACGTCTTGTGCACCTAACTCCATCTGCGCTTGTGGAGTTAGGTGCAACGACAAGTCATTGTTACACGAGAGTAACTGTTCACTTGTCTGAATTGGTAGTGGTGGTGGTTCTTTAACCGTAACTGCAAAATTGTATAATAAATAATAATTTATCTATTGAATCTACTGTTTGTAAAGAAAACGATTTCCAACATGGGTTGGCATGAATTTAAAAAAATGTAGAAAGTTAATGAGCGGTAGAAAAATGTTTCGTCTCAGTTCGGGACTCTTCAGAATTACTGCCCACAACTTAATTCGTGAGAATAAGGTAAAGACATAATTCACTCCTTGTAATAAGAACATAACTACCAACTCGAATGATTAATAGATTAAGTAAATTAACAAATGTTAGGAAATAACTGGTCAATAAAACTGATCGCTTATATATCTTTATTAGTTTTTTTGTCTAATGATGCAATAAGTAGTACATTGTGATTTTGTTTTTAAATAGTTGAAATGTACTTTTAAAAAGAGGAAGTGAAATGTTTATTCGATGTTTTTATCTCCTCAGTATTTAGTATGATTACACTACTCTATGGTACTTTTCAATTTCGCTTTTTTTTAAAAATAGAATTCTCAGATAGCCTCATTAGCTGATGAAGTATTCAGTCATATAAGAACAGTGAAGTCATTGACATTAGAAGATTTACAAATTGAGTAAGTTGTTATCTCATTCAAATAGCAATTCATACTTCTATAGACATTACTTATATATATATATATATATATATATATATATATATATATATATATATATATATATATATATATATAAATATATATATATATATATATATATATATATATATATATATTAGTAATATGTACTCAGGTGTGCAACATTGATGGCACTGAAATTGAAACCAAGTCCGAAATTAAATACCTAGGCGTCACTCTATCGTCTGATCTTTCCTGGTCGTCTCATATCTTGACGATTTCTAAGAAAATATTCCGTCTTACCTTCTACATCAAGAAGTTAAGACATTCTGGTGTAACCCAACCCTTACTCCTACAATTCGTTAACTCCCGTATTCTGCCTATTATTCTCTATTGTTCCCCCTTAGTTTTTCCAGGGCTACTGAAGAAAGACTATACCTTATTACGCAGGATGTTAAAGGTTGTCAGCAGGGTAAGCAGTGTGCCACGTAGCCAGGTTGTTAATATTCTGGTGGACAGGCACATGGACTCATGTGAAAAATGGGCTAAATCCTTTTTATCTAACTCACATCACCCTCTACATTCACAACTCTGCCCTTGTATCTCTTCAGGAAAAACCAGAAGCCTATATAGGAAACTATATGCCCGCACTAGTAAGTACAAAAACTCATCCATACCCTACTTAGCTCGTGTCCTGTGCGATAAAGAAAGCATTAGGCTGGATACCTGTAGCTAACTTATTAAATAGTCAGTAGAACAATTGGATCTCGTCTTTCCAACTCATATCATTTATAGGTACAACGTTGTTCTTTCTTTTCCTTTTCTCCCTTTTTTCTTTTCTGTTATGTGCAGCTTTGTTTCTTTCTTTCTGTAAATATGCTAGAACCTACTTTTCTGAAAACCTAACACTCTGTTTAATTTTGGCTTTGCTACCGACATGCTAATATGTTGTTGTCAAAACTAACTGAGATTACCCTTAATCTATGTAGAATTTTATTCATTGTTAACTTACTAATTGGATGCAATACTGTAGCAAGATGCTGAGAATTCCATTCTGTATCGCAAGTACTGTTTTGGAATAAAGCTATTATTATCTTATCTTACTGTTTGTTAATTGAATTAAGTACTAACTACAACTTTTATTCAGGATTACAAAAGAATAAAAAAGGTCGTATAGTAGTAATGGTGGATTTCTAATCCATCTGCATTTTTTGCTGGGGAATAGGTTACTACTTACTTTACTTTACTTCGGCTATCTCCTACGGGAGGATGAACCGGCTTCATGAACATATCGAATCATCGCTGCCCAGGAGCGGCGATCTGTTGCAAGGTTTTGCGACAGGGTTATCCAATTCTTGTTCCACAGACGGAGTCCGTAGACGGTTTGTAGCCCCAGGCACTCCATATCAGCCTTGACTGTACCAAGCCATGTTTTCAGCTGTCCACCCCTGCGACATCGCCAAGATGGAAATGGCGAGGGATTTAGAACTGATTTGACCCGATCGTCATCTGGTCGGCGCAGAACATGGCCAAACCGCCGAAGGCGACGTTGTTGCACCAGTACTGGAATTTGGTTGATGTTGTAGAGAGTTCATGAAGTTGCATGGGAATTAGGTACGAGTGATGTCCCCAGCATCGCTCGGCTTTTTGTTTGAGAGTGCAGCTCTAGCCTTTACACAACCAAGTGTGACCTACAAGGCAGTAGGAGTGGAGTAGGGAGTCCACTATCCATTGGCAGCCGGTGACCAGAGTCCGGTTCATACGCCTTTTTGAATGGGGCCAGACATCCAGGGCATCCAATAAGCCCTTTGTCCATACGTCTTCCGGTGAGCTTCATACGCCAGTCGTTGGAGGTTTGGAATCAGGGTTTAGCCATCTCCCCTAGACTGTCATCCAATGGACAGTCAACCCAGTGAAGAGCGCCGGGCATCCGCTTTTGTCCTCTCACTTCGGTGAAAAACACCTCCGCCACGTGAAGACAGTGAGTAGGACTTCCTCGGGAGAGGCTATGTAAGACGTCCGGTCATATGGGAGCATTTCAAGAGGTGTACGGAGGGGTGGCCAACCCGCAGCGCAAGGCACCCACCCCTGACCATCCTGAGGCTTTGGAGGCAATAGGTTGCTGCATTGCCAGAGTTTCTTGTCGTCTTTTTGTCCTTTTGATCGGTTATCTGATTTTCGCTATATGGAGAGAAGGTAACTGCTGATGAAAGTCTTCAACCTGTTGGTGATGCTTCTAGTGACACGCGCGTCAAATCTGAAACATATAAGGGGGGTGGGCAACTGTCCTTTCATTGGTGTTGAAAATCCGGATTCCAGGTCTGGTTTCAGAGTGATAAAAGTTCGTCTTGTTTGTTTTTCTGATCTTGGTTGCCTTTAACATTGTGTTATAATTGCACTGAACTGAATAAACCCGTCGCCAATTTGTTATATATCTGCGCCTGCTAATTGTTATAATGGCAACGATAAACGCGACTGGTATGCTAATTGTTATGTACTGCTGCTGAGTGAGTTATTAAATTTTTCCCGTCGCCAATTATGTTATGTACTCGTCGAGTAGTTAATAGTCCTGACGCGGAAAGAGGGAAATCAGAAGACCACTAGGTTTACGATGATACTTGTATTTTCCAGACAAGGAAAATAAATGTCACACAAGTGTGTCAGTGGAAGGGTACTTAGGTGTACGAAAACGTGAGAACAAGAGTGATAAAGTGTACAATGCAAAGTATGTATGAAAATGGCTAATACACATGAACCAATAAGATAACGTCTTACCAGGATTGCTTGTAATGTCATGTGATAACAAGGTCATACATGTTTATTTAGTTAAAGGACAGACAAAAGCATATTGTCAGTTGAAATAATAATGATGAAATAATAATGGTGAAATATCGATCCATATGCACATAGCAAAATATAATAGACTCAAAAACAAAACACATATCATGTGGATACATATCACTAATATGCCTATTTGTCCGCTGTACCTTCCGATTCACTGAGCCACACAAATATCAGAAGACAAAGATTGACCTGTGACTCTAAGATATTGTATTGTACATTTATTAGGGGACAAAACATATCTATACATTTCTTTACCACAATAAAGTCGGCTCACAGCCGTGAGAATGGATTGTTCTTATTGGCTGGAAATATCTATACTGATTGGTTGACAATCTGACAAAGACCAAGGCAAGACAAATGATGATTAATCGATGACACACTAAATCGCAATGCGCATGAGAAATAATGGATTCACATAGTAATCCCATTACAAGATAAATCACACGATTCGTAAGGAAGTATGATATACTATTTTATGCGAGTTCCGATCACATCCTCATCCGTGCCGCTTAGATAAGGGAAGCAGGCGACCTCTTAGATTTATTCCAATGGTGGTGATCGATAGTTATTGCTGTTGTTGGTTGAATATCTTCATCGCCTCTGCCTTTTCTATGTTCACTTGAAGTCGCTTCTTCACTCCTTTTTTTAAACTTGATCGTTTTCACCTGTAGATCTTCCAGTGTGTGTATGACACTAGGCATCTATCCTAATAATTGACGATTTTAAACAGTGTAGAATAAAACTAATTACAGTGGTATAAATGCGACAATCTTTTAAATTCTCTACTTCCTGGAGGCAGTTCATGTACATCTTCTTGATTTATTTTGCCATATATACTTCTTACGAGTTGATCACGGATTGATATCAGTTGGAGAACCATTAAAAACCAGCACTGGAGTACTGAACAGCTGTTTCATCCCACAAGTTTGGGAATCATCACCAGTAAGCACTCACTGTTAGGGTTCGAACCCACGACCTTTTGGTTACAAGGCAAGCCGGCTCGTATACCATTCAGCCACTGGGACCCGATTCAGTGGCCAGCCCTTCAATTCTGACTTCTACCAATTCGAGATTTAGCGCGACCCCAACCAATGTTGTCGGTGGGACATCCATCCTCACACGTAACCTCTGGATGGACCTCATTGGTCACGACTTCTCACTAGAACTTCAGGAAACTCCATTCTGCGGCAAGTCACTAGCGAGCATCGGATTAAATTTCTATAGGTTCTAGGTTTGAACTCTGGCGGTTGGTGCGTACTGCTGATGATTCCCAAACTAGGATGAAACAACTGTCCAGTACTTTAGTACTGGTTTTGAATGGTTATTTGTCTGTCTGTCTGTTTTCGACATAGGACTTTACACCGATGTGCTGCAGTTCAAGTCGCCACACTCCCTTCTTGTAGCACACAAAGCAAGAGAAGAAAGTAGAAGAAATGTATGATAGAGACAGTAAACAGGGGTGTGAAATAAAGGAATAGTAATAACGAAGAACGATGTAGTTTCATTTAAAATTATAAGTCACAAGGAGTGTATGCATCTGCGCCAGTCAGCCATTGAGAACGATTTTGAGCCATATCACCAATTGTTTCCAACCATTGGTTTTTACCGTCCTGAAGACACCAATCAGCCAGGAAGTCTACACCTTCTTACGTGGCTGGCTTAAACTAACTGTTGTGGATTTCATTGTTTGGTGTCATTGTTTTGGTTTGACCGCCGCTAGCTCTTTTCCAGCCTGACCCTATGTCAGCTAACATTGCCCGTCAGTCGAGGAAGGCGATGACTAGGCATACGTAACACATGGTTATTTAATTGATATCAATCTGCGATCAACTCGTAAAAACAAAACTAACCCTTACAAACCAACTATAAAAATATATACTTCTACCAGCTGTGTTAAGTATATGTGGGATGTCTTGTAGTTTCAATGACATTTATTTGTTTTTTCCTCTATTTATCAACAACAACAACAACAACAATAATAGCTTTATTCTAGAATGTTCGTTTTAAACACATAGTACTGAGTTTTCAGCTTGTTTCATTACAAAGTAATTTATTCTTTGTGCTGCAAAGTCTTTGAATAATATATCAGTCGACACTGCATCACTTGAAGCAATATTGCTCCATCCATAGTGTTCTTTATTACTCTGCGAAGTTTACCTTCCACTTCCTTTGAGAAATTCATAGTTGTAGGTTGAAACGTTTTTTTATAATTGTACGTAAGAATCCTTAGAAGTGAAGACGGAAGTAAGACATGGCTGCCTACTGTTTCCAATGATCTTCCTGATTGCGGTAAACAGGTATAAGATGGACCCACTCACAAAAAGCTTAGAGGATCTGGATTTCACCGATGATATGTGTCTGATTTCTCACAAACTGGAAGGTATGCAAGTGAAAAGCAACAAGTCGGCAGAAAAAGCATCACAGATAGGACTTCAGGCGAACATACAGAAAATATAGGTGATGAGGATTCCTGGCCAACAGCAACAACAACAATCAGCATAGGTGGGAGAAATCTGGAAGAAGCAACCTCCTTTACCTACCAACCTGGGAAGCATCGTTTCAACTACAGGCGAACGGAACTGGTGAGGATATCAAAGTGAGGATCGGGAAAGCAAGGCAAGCTTTCATTACTCCCAAGTCTGTGTGGAGGTCAGCAACACTCAGCATGAAAAATAGGATCCGGATTTTCAAATCCAATATGAAGTCAGTCATTGCTACTATACGGATCAGAGACTTGGCCAGCGCGTCACGAAGGCCACTTCGGGCAAACTACAGGCCTTCATCAACAGCTGTCTTCGTTCAGTACCACTCAAGATGAGATGGCCAGACAGAAAAGATCAGCGAGGAGGAGGGATCTCTGGTAATGAGCGAGCCAACCCAGCAGGAACCGACTGTGCAACAAATATGCAGGAAGAAATGGAGATGGATTGGCCTTACTCTGACAAAACAAACCACCAAGTGAGGGACATCATACACCAGGCTATTGCTGTAGTGGAGCCCGAATGGGAAGTGGCCATTCGGTGGTCGTCAGTGTGAGGGCGGGGTGCATGGAGGAGGTCATGCTGAGAGGAGATAAAAGCATGTGGGCAGACGTTGAGTTGGGTGAAAACGTTGGTGGAAAACCGAACACTAATGGAGATGTGCGGCTGAAGTCTTATTTTCCTCTAGGAACTAAGAGAGACAATAGTAATACGTGAGAGTAGGTTACGATTCATGAACGTAGTTGGGATGGTTAAAACAATATGAAATGCAGTAAATGTAATGCATTACGATGGATGGAAAAATGGTTAATATATAATAATAATTTTTCATATCATTTTAGAATGAAGTCAGTAGAGTGATCTTGATCATATTTTCTTTCTTTCTTTTTCAAAAGGAAAATGAATTATGATATTGATAAGGCTAGAAGACTTAGTGAAAAACTTGCCTTTGGAATTGGTTCCTTTCAAGGTCTCTCCAACTTAGCCTTGAATGGTGAGTAAACATCTTGCTTACCTTACAGCAGATTATTTTCCTTTTCATGTAATAAAGCCTGTTTGTTTGTGTGTATAGATGTGCGTTTGTAATGTACACAGCCAAGTCATGAAGTAGCTTGGTAATTCTTCAACCCTATTATTATATCCTTTAATTCCTAGAGGAACATAGGGCTTCAGCTGCGGATCTCCATTGCCTTCTGTTTCCTGCCAACTTTTACGCACCGCTCCAAGTCTGCCCACATGCTTTCATCTCTTCACATGACCTCCTCCAAGTAACCCTTGCACTGACGACCAACTCGCCACTTCCCTTTCGGGTTCCATTCGAGGACTTGTTTTAGTGGTGTCACTTGATGGTTTCCTCAGAATATGGCCAATCCATCTCCATTTCTTCCTGCCTATTTCTTGCACAATTGGTTCCTGGTTGGTTCACTCTCAGATATCCCACCCTGTTCCCGATCTTTACTGGCCATCTTGAGTATTGAGCGAAGACAACTGTTAATGAAGGTCTGAAGTTTGTTTGAGATGCTCTTTATGACGCGCCAAGTCTCTGATTCGTGTGGTAAGTAGCACTGACTTCACATTGGAGTTCAAAATCCGGATCTTACTTTCATTTTCGTGGTGAGTGCTGTTGACCTTGACACAGACTTAAGAGTAATGAAAGCTTGTCTTGCTTTTCCGATTCTGGCTTTGATATTCTCACCAGTTCCGTTCGCCTGTAGTTGAAACGATGCTTCCCAGGTTGGTAGGTAAAGGAGGTTGTTTCTTTCAGGTTCCTCCCACTTATGCTGATTGTTGTCTGTTGTTGTTGGTCAGGAATCTTCATCGCCTCTGTTTTCTCTATGTTCACTTGAAGTTCTATCTTTGATGTTTTTCTGTCGACTTGTTGCTTTTCATTTGCATATCTTCCAGTTTGTGAGAAATCAGACATATATCATCGGCGAAGTCCAGATCCTCCAAGTCTCTTTTTGTGTGAGTCCATTTTATGCCTGTTTCCTCATTGCCCGTCGTTTGTCCCATTATCCAATCTACTGCAATCAGGAAGATCATTGGCGATAGTAGACAGCCTTGCTTTACTCTCGTCCTCACTTCGAAGGCTTCCGTAAGTCTCTCGTTGTGGATTACTTGGCATACAGCAACCCTATGGGTGTCAAAATTAAATTATTATTGTATCGAAGTGTTTGATTTCTGCTGACATGTTGGCACTTTGTGCGGATGCTTCGACCATGTCGGAGGATTTAACTTGAAATAATTTGGTGGACGGTGGCTAGCAGTGGAATCCAGGACGCGCATTTCGCCGTGTTTAGGACTCGTCGACTGGATGTACCTGTATTCTTAGTAAGTGATGGTGTTCCCATTGAGTTTCGAACTCAGTACCCATCGCTTCAAACGCCAAAGCATTGTCTACTAGATTACTTGGGTCATGAGAGGCACATCTTGTGCAACGGGGTATCAGTTATTATTTAATTCAACTTGAACTTTGCCGTTAATTAGTTGTACCGAAGTGTTCGGCCTCTGACGAGTCCCAAATAGGAAGAAGTGCGCATCCTGCATTTCATTGCTGGTCATCATTCACCAAATTATATCGGAATTAAATCCTTTCTTTATTGAGAATTTTATTGCCTACAACTTGATATAATTCAGTATATTATAACTTTCAGATGTTGTTTAGCGGATATCAGCTTCCAATAAAGTCATCTTTGAGTGTTTGTTTCATGTTTAAATGCATACATGAATGCGTGGATGTTTTTTTTCTTACCATTGGATTTCGTGTAGATATTTATGACCTAATAGTTTAGATGCACTGGTTTGATCAGCACTCAGTTTTTGGCGGATAGGTCACAGATTCGAGTCCCTCTCCTCCTCTCCTACTTAATTTGAACAAAGCAAGAACTACAGTTTTAGCAGAATAAAATGGTACCATCTTTTATTTCGTTGCCTTCTCATCAGCTGCTTAAATGGCAAAGACATTATTGAATATATCTACAATAACAATTTTAACATACTTGCACAGAGTTCATTTTGAACAAAAATCAATCGATCAATATACTCGTACACATATATATATATATATATATATATATATATATATATATATATATATATATATATATATATATATATATATATGCAATATTAACCACTATTCCGAACAATAATAATCAAACACAATGGAAACTTTTAGCATTTCACATTTGGATGAAAGAGAGGTGAAATTATCCAGTTACCAGGGCAAAGAAAGGCTGATAACCGCTTCTTTCTGGACGCATAAATCAGGTTTCATGCGCTTGATGGAAATGGCTTCTGCAAACTGAAGGAGAATTGAGCCTTTTTGCCTATTGATAATTTTGAACGACTTTTCGACGTCCACCTCATGACCCGTGTCGAGAAGATGCCTGGCGATGACATTTATAGTGTGCAAAAATAAAAGTCATGCTTCACACTTACTAAGATTATTCAATGGTGCACATGCCAATATTGAGTTCACTATGGAACATGAAAGTGACGGAAAGTTTCACTTCCTCGACATCGCCATGGAACGCCTAGAAAACGGCAGTCTTCGAAATTCAATTTATCGGAAGCCCATATGGAAAGGACAATACTTGCATTTTAATAGCTTTTGTCCACATAGCTTTAAACGTGGTCTAGTCAAGACTTTGTACTATAGAGCGAGGAGAATATGCTCTATAGAGAAACTAGAGGAGGAGTTTGAGTTCCTTGTATGAAAGATCTGAAGTCTCAAATGTAAAACAAATCACAGTGAAAAAAAGCCAGTCTACGTTCAGCTTGATTATAAAGGTGAAAACATTACAGCAGTGATCAACAGAAGGCTGAGTACATCACTAGCCATAGCCTATCCTGCCGCTAAGCTCGTTCCCGTCTATCGAACAACTTGCTCTTTGGTGCAATCAAAAATCAATAGATATCCTTCTCATGTTAACTCCAACTGTATATACAAATTTACATGTATCTGCGGGAGCAGTTACATTGGAAGGACATAAAGAAGGGCATATCTACGATTTTCTGAACATGTACCAAAAAGCTTACATATAAAGGGAACAAATGCTTTAAACAGTGCCATCGCCAGGCGTCTCCTCGACACGGTGGACGTCAAAAAGTCGTTCAAAATTATCAATGGGCAAAAAAGCTCAATTCTCCTTCAGTTTGCTGAAGCCATTTCCATCAAGCTCCTGAAACCTGATTTATGCATCCAGAAAGAAGCGGTTATATATATATATATATATATATATGTATATATATATAGTGTACGAGTATATTGATCGATTGATTTTTGTTCAAAATGAACTCTGTGCAAGTATGTTAAAATTGTTATTGTAGATATATTTAATAATGTCTTTGCCATGTAAGCAGCTGACGAGAAGGCAACGAAATAAAAGATGGTACTATTTTATTCTGCTAAAACTGTAGTTCTTGCTTTGTTCAAATTCATTTAGGGGAATAAATGTATGAAATCTCCTACTTAAGTCTGAGCAACTGAGTGGTATCATTAGCCCTAACACGATCAGTATGTCTCTTAGCCTGGTACATGGGAAGAAGTTTCCGAATAATTGAGGTGTAAAAAAGTAGTTTAGACACTTTTGACAAATGTATCAAAACTTCAAACCCGCTCTATCAACGAAGGTACGATCAATCAGGTGTTATCACTAATTATTCGATTTATTGCCTTGTGGACAGATTTAAATATGATTACTTAAGGTACATTGGAATTATGACCATTGGGAAAATCTTAGTAATAGTATCCCTATAGTCGTGGGTATGCACCACTGAATACTGTCAAACTAAGACGAAGCAGCTACTTCTCTAAATGATGATGGTTTGTGAGGAAATCTGCGATATGCTTAATTAAGATCGTTACGAAAAATCAACTCAAAATGTGAATATCAACTTTTAAAACATTGACATGTCAACTTTTTATTCTGATTATGAAGAAATACTTTCATCCTCTAGAATTTCCTGTTAAAGTCCACTTACAGGATTTTCAAATCAAAATACTATATACAAATGCAATTTAACCATGAATTGTTATTTTAAGTGAACAACTTTCCTCGGATTTGTACTAACTTGCAACAACACGTTATCTCAAGATGAGTCAGTGTCATAATGAAGGAATTAAAGACTTGTTTTCAAATTTTTTTGTTCCTCTGCGTTTTCATTGGAACATAGGGCGTGAATCGTGAGTATTTTATCACTGAACCGCTGACGCACGTTTAAATACTACGTAAATACACGTATTTCACTGATTCTCTTATTCCAATGTATATGATCCCGTGTTTTTACTATGTTCGTATTATTTTACTATGCTAGGTGTTGTACTTGGAGTATTATATATTGGTGGTCATTTAATGTCTCGAGGTGAATTAGACCCTGGTCATTTAATGTCATTCCTGGCTACTACACAAACAATGCAACGTTCACTTTCTCAGTTATCTTTACTCTATGGTCATATAGTTCGTGGATCTACTGCACTGAAGCGTATTCATGAGGTAAGTAAGAAAAATATGATCATTGTCTTGTGTTTTTCTATTATTTGTTCCCCGTGTTTGAAGGATTCCTGTATTTCTTCAAAGTAACTTTTGTATTGAATTGAAGTCGTTCAGTTAATTATTGAATAGCCTTTTTTGGGATTATCTCACAGTGTTTGTCCATGAACGGTGTGAAGTCTAGATCGCCAGGCGGTGACGTCCAAAGGTTAGCATTTAATCATTTTGTCATTGGGTTACTGTTCAGTCATCCGTGTTATCTAATTGTTGCCAATTTTTAAACCGTATCCGCATAGTGAGACTTTTTGATTATTTCTTAGATTTCATATTAAGAGACATGGAAATGTTCTCAACATAGGACCTAATACTAATACTGCCATATTATAATAGTGCAAGTTGCCAATCTTCATATCTGAGTAGAACATGGGGTTTTGAGTTTGACCTTTAGAGAAAAAGTTGTGGTGGTGGTGGTGCTGTTTCGTATTACCTGGCGGGGTCGATAGTCTCATGTCCCAACTGCCGCCATTTCTGGATTTATTAGTAGCTAAGTGAGATTTAGGATTTCATTGACCGGGAATCAAACCCGAATCGCCTCTGTGGGGTTGGTGATGTACATCAAATAGTGTAACAAAATCGGGACAAATAAATGAAGATATTTTAATCAAATTTTGGAGAGTTTTGTAAAATGAAAGACGGAAAAAAGGGAGCAAATGTACAAATATAATTTTAAGATATAAAATAAAGATAAGGTAATATATACCTTTGTATTATTATGTCATATTACAAGCCAGTATTGACCACTGTCTTCAAGCATCGGTTCCACTTGTTGCACAGTGGTTAGGACTCTCGCTGACCATGCACATGGTCCGGGGTTCTATTCTCTGCCGACGCACACTTGATATCAATGGTCGGCCTGCAAAATTTGGGCTACTGATATCACATGCTGAGAATTCCCATACCTGTCCCAAAAATATGGTATGGAATGAAACTATAACCAAAAGAAAAAAATGGAAAAAATGGAATCAAATATTACTCAACAATCACTTGCAATTCCATGCACAACTAAGAATATCCCCAAGTATTTATTGGTTCTAATTTTTAAAGCAAGATTTCTGCGTATATGTTATTATAGTACTGAAATGGAAAGAAGACAGAAATGGAATCATATACAGTATCATGGTACTTATAATGGGGTTTATTGCCTGGGATTAATTCATTAGTAGTGTTGTTTCAGTTACTTAATCTGAAACTGAGCGAAACAACACGTCGTGACGGTCAGTCATAGTTGCTAGGATACCCTAGACTTGGGTTTCGCGTGATTATCAACAATCCTCAGCAAGATAAAAGGACTGATATCCCCTTGTACATTGAGGCCTGCGTCACCCAGTATTATTATTATCATTATTATTAAAACACCAACAGATGCACGACACAAGATCTCATAATTTGTGCCAGGGCTTCAGTACTTTACGGACTCCCAGATTGAAGCAGGTAATTGTCCTATGAGGCCACGTTTCCTTCGAACCTCTTAATTCATAATTGATCCACAAGGCAGTAGAACAGCGTTAGGATTTGCCTTCCCATAGTTTCCGGTGACCAAAACAGATTCATATGCCATTTGATTCATTCGGATTCTGGACCCATGTACACTATAAGTTTGAAATCAGGGTTTTCTAGCTCCTCTAGGTAGACCAACATGTTCACCAGTCTGATTTTAAACGCCAAACGTTCTTTAAGAATACTCTCTCCACATGGAGGTAGTGAATAGAACTTGCCTGGTAGAGGCTGTGAATGCATGGCCACATGAGAGTATTTCGGGAGCTAGGCCGAAGTCTACCCACCCCTCGGCCTTACCAGATCGTTTATGGGGCGTTACTCAGTGCTGCAATTAGGGACACAATCCTGACCTGCGATTGACCGCATTGGAGACAATGACCAGTGTCATGTGTTTAGTCTCCTTGGTGTTGGTGCTACATGGAATGTGACAACTTGAACTGGTGCACTTTTGTGTAAATTTCTGAGATGAAATTCGGTAAGTCAGTCAGTCAGTCTCATTTACAGTTACTCAGTTTGTAGAAATTTACCCAATAAGACGGGTTGGAAAACAATCACCGAGGTCATATTGTAACAGCAGAAGGCAGGAGCCAGGCAACAGATAGTTTATTAAGGAAATCAACACATATTTATAGATTTTCATGTGCATATTATAGATTATTGTTAGCAGGAAAACACAGTCCTCTGATTGGTTGTTTCTCACTGAAAGTTAACCTTGCATCTCTTTTTGGCTGTTTCTTGAATGTCAGATCATCTATATGTTAATTGTATCCGCCTACGCAAAGCCTTTGTTCTCATTTCTCTCACGACCAATATTGGGGACATAAACACTGACGTAAATTACTGTCCACCAATTTTGACTAACAGCCAGCTCTCACCACAATATGACAATACATTCCTGAACAGTGGCGTGCTATATAGCTCTAATAGAATAACGTCTTATTACCTTATTAATCGTTTATACTAAGTGTACTTCTTTTAATTTCTTGCTTTGACTAACTGATAGCTTTGGTAGCTTTCAATTCATATTTCTTTCTCTTTAGATATTAAAACTACCCAGTGGTATAGGTAGTATGGCATCTCCAACTATGGCGACAGAATCATCATCATCATCCATAAATAATAACAAGTATATGAAAGAAATGAACGAATTAGTCTATTCTACCGCACCAAGCATAACCTTTGCAAATGTTCAATTCGCCTATCCTAATCGTCCAGAAAGTGATGTGTTGAATCAGTTGTCAGTGAATTTACCCGGTGGTAAAGTAATAGCATTAGTTGGCCAGTCTGGTGCAGGTAAATTATGATTACATAATCATCAAATGAGTAAGATTTCAATTTTAGTTTCTCAAGTATCTGAGTATTAGAGGTCAATTGGGGGATGGTGACTAGCAGTGGAATCCAGGATAACGCGCATTTCGTCCTATTCGGGACTCGTCAGTTGGATGTACCTGCATTCCTCAGTGAATGATGATGTTCCCACCGAGGCTCGAACCCAGTGCCCATAGTTTCAAACGCCAAAGCGTTACCCACTAGACCACTTGGGTCACGAGAGCCACCTGTTGTGCAACGGGTCATATTAATTATTTAATTGAGTTTTAGATTTTCCCGTTGATTGATTGGACGGAAGTGCTTGGTCTCAGGTTGACATGTCGGCTTCTTGTTCAGATGGTTTGGCGTTTGAAACTATGGGCACAGGGTTCGAGCCTCAGTATGAGCATCATCACTCACTACGGAATGCAGGTATATCCAGCTGGTGAATACCAAATAAGACGAAATGTGCATCCTGGATACCACTGCTAGTCATCACCATCCACCAAATTGCTTCCAGTTAAACCCTGAGGCATCGTCGAAGCATCTGCACAAGAAGCCGACGTGTCAACCTGAGACCGAGCACTTCAATCCAACCAATCGACGGGAAAATCTAAAATCGAATTAAATAAATATCTGAGCATTAGTTTGATTTTCTTATTGTTTTGATCGACAGTCAAATAACCTAAGCACTCAGTTTTCAATTAGTGCGAAATGTTCTACTGACAAGGTCTTTCAAGTAGTATATTGTGTGTGATCTCTTCCACAAGAATATTGAAAAGGGAAGCTATATATTAAGTTGGGACTAGGAGAAATGAGAGTTCCTTGAGAAACAATATAGGAGGCATGAAAGGAGAGGACAAAAGAAGCACAATACGAAGGACCTTTGGGAATGATGATTTCACTGTATTTTGCCTAAACTGTACACCATTTTCCCAAATAACAATTCTACTACCATATACTACCGTGTTTTGTTGTTGCATTCGACGTCGCTGCTTACAACCAAATGAAGATCCTGTGTTATGTAGCTTTCGAAAGGGTAGGCATGCGAAGTTGTTACTGATTTGGTGAGTGTGTGCAGGATCCAACGACGAAAACTGGTACTGGGCAACGCTGCTGAGAGGTCGGGGAAAAGACGGCTTACTACAGTGTGGACCTTGCAGGTGGGGGGAAGGGGATCTGGATGTTATTAGTAGAACAATTAGTGGTGGTGGTGTTCGACAGCCCAATGGACAGTTTCACGAAGCTAGGGTCAGATAGGATCCCGCTGGTGTTGGTCCTGAAGCTGTCAAATTTCCGAATATACATGTTCTCCGTATTGTTCTTCTTTTGTCTTCCTTCGATGTTTTCTATGCTGTTTCACCAGGAGTTTTCATTTCTTCTCGTTACCATTCAACCCGTCACTTTGCTATTCAATATTCTTTCAGAAGACCGCACATAGTGTACTACATGTGAGATCTTGTCAGTTGCACATGCCACATAGTCATCTCGAAATCGGATAGGGTTGTCTGTGATCCTTTTAACATGGTAAGTATCAAATTACTGGGCAATCCAAAAAAACTAGGATGAAATAACTGTTGAGTACTGTTTTTGTTATTTGCCTTTTAATGTTTCTCTATTTGATGTTCATTCTTCCTCACGTGAAATCAAAGTACTACTCTGTGCATTTCAGGTAAATCAACTGTTGTCTCTCTACTAGAAAGATTTTATGAACCGAAAGCTGGTGAAATTTTATTAAACAACTATAAATTAACTGATTTCAATGTAAATTACTTACGTGGTAAATTAATTGGTTATATTAGTCAAGAGCCACAAATATTCAATGCATCAATAAGAGAGAATATTCGATTTGGTCGCCTTGATGCAACCGATGAAGAGGTAATATAAATAAATGTGCAGTTGATTCCTTTTGTATGAGGTTCTTACTCACCTACTGTGTTTTCAGATAACAAAAAATGAGACAGCGATGTCTGATCGACTCCAAAAAAATATTCTCATTTCCAATTTTTTAAAGCTTAATATGAGGGCATGTAACAGCTATTATCACTGTTCCCAGCCAACAGTGGGGTTAGACGGGGTTTCCCAATCTCTCTCTACTTTTCTTTAACTTTGTCATCGATGATGTTCTGGTGTCAGCTCTAAAGAAGATGAGTGGTACTGGTGTAGATCTGTTTACTTCAGAAAGACTTTTTGACCTTGAGTATACGGGCTATATTGTCCGACTGTGCGATAGCATGCATGCTACTCGAATCACACTCAATTAGTTGGCGATCAGTGCCTGTAATTGTGGTATGTGATTTGCGTTGTTGCAAGTTTGGCAGGAGCCTGTACTTGAACTCACTCTTGAAGATGAACATCTTGAAGTTGTCGATAAGCTCGCATACCTAGGTAGCTGTGTGAATGCTAACAGTGTGATGGGTGAGATGTCGAACCGAATAGTGAAAGCCTAGTATGGTATGGACCAATTTGCGTCACATATGTCACCGTCAAACTGTCAAGGGTTGGGTTTACAAAATTTCGGTGCGCACAGTCTTGCTCTCCTCCTACGAAACATGGCTTCCCCGGGTTGAGGATGTATAGTGACTATGCGCATTCGATCATCGCTGGTTCCATAGACTTGCTTGCAATCGATTGCATCGTCGCGTGAGTAATTCTCAAGTCCGGTAGTGCGTTTGGACACGGTGAAGTTTCCTCATCTGTAAACATTGGCTTCGGTGGCTTGGCCATGTGCTGCGAATATCATTCCAGAGGCTTCCGTACCGGTCTCTGTTTGATAGCCCTAGAACTAGATAAAAAAAGCAGAAAGGTTATCAGCCGATGGTGTGGTGTCATGGGATGAACGATATTTGTATTAAGTTAGCATCGGTTGGCAAATCACAACTCCCCGATTAGGGTCCGAAAGGCAGCTCGAATCTGTGACTCGAAACATCAGATATGGTCAAGAGTTACAGTCAATTTCCTTTTTTCTTGCCTTCCTGACAGTGATGTCACGAATATCGTTTGGTCTTGTCAAATATAATTGCTTCCTTTCCGGATGACGTCATGTATTCGTTCTCTCCCTACTTTCTTTCTTTATATACTGTTGTTTTATTATTGTTGTGTGGCACATGTTCTTGGCACCTATATCGTACCATGTTCCGTTTTAAATAAATAAACAAAGAAATAAGGCTTGGTGCTCCCAGCCTCTTGGGTAATTCGGAGAGCTGTCAATATTACTGGGGAGAGGTATATTTTGGAGAAGTATGAATATATAAAGCACATCTTAAAAGTCTTTAGTTTTTACACATATTATATTACTCCTTTGGGTTCTGAGTGGAAAATAGAACTTCAGCAGGACACCTCCACTTCACTTTGTTCTCTGCAGTCTGTTTTAACTGACACTATGATGATCGCCAACACAACCCTTAGTTTCCTCCTCACACGATCTCCTCTATGTTACAAATGAACGTCCAACTCGTCGCTTCTCTTTCGGGTCCCATTCTTGGTCTCGTCTATTGTGTAACATCACTCAACAGACTCTTTGATACATGTTCAATCTATCTCCATGTCCCTTTGGGTACTAGTTAGGCAGTAGGTTTTTGGTTGGTTCGTTATCTGAGTTCTTTTTTGCTAGTCTGTCTGGCCATTCGATATTCAGTGTGTAGCATCTTGTTTACTAGTTCACTGTTTATCAGCCGGTCGTAAACCTTGGACTGCATTTTGTTAGTGTCCTCGCCTAGAAGGACGCTGACAAAATCCAGAGTCTTCTGAACACCTTGAGCTACAGTCTACGAATGTTTGGCATGCGATTTGCTCCCGCCAAATGTAAGATGATGTTACAGGATTTGACTACACTCACTGCTAGTTTAGGAATAGGGAATGAAGTGGTATAGCACGTTGACCGCTTTACTTATTTGGAAAGTACCATCAGCCCCAACGGGTTGATCTCTGACGAAATCTCAGCACGGATACAAGGGGCTCGTTTCGAATTTGCCAGTTTACGCCGTCTCTGGCGTAGACGAGATATTCGACTATCGACCAAAGGGCGGATGTACTGCTCATCAGTCCTCTCCGTCCTCCTTTATGGTTGTGAGACCTGGCCACTGAGAGTGGAGGGCATGAAAAAGCTAGCTGTCTTTGATCATAGGTACCTGCGTTCTATCTCTTGTGTGAAGTGACATACTAAAGTGAGCAGTATTAAGGTTAGGCTTCGGTCGAGTGCTAGGTAGGTGGAGGGAAAATCAATCGACGAAGCTGTAAATACATCGACTGAGATGGTTAGGACATGTGTTACGTTACGTATGTCTAGTCATCGCCTTCCTCGACTGACGGGCAATGTTAGCTGATATAGGGTCCTGCTGGAAAAGATCTAGCGGCGGTCAAACTAAAATGTGGCACCAGTCAATCAAATCCACAACAGTTAGTTAAAGCCGGCCAGTAACGTAGGAAGGTGTAGACTTGCCTCCTGGTTGGGGTCCTCGGGACGGTAAAAACCAATGGTTGGAAACTATTGGTAATATGGCTCAAAATGGTTCTCAGTGGCTGGCGCAGATGTATCCACACCTTGTGATTTATAATACCCAATAAAGCTATATTGTCCTTTTTTATTACTATTCTTTTGCCTCATATCTCTGTTTAGCGTCGCTATTATGGTTTTCTTCTACTTTCTTCTCTTGCTTTGCGTGCTACAAGCAGGGAGTGTGGCGACTTGAACTGGTGCACATCGGTGCAAACTTCTATGTCGAAAACAGAGACAGAGAGAAACCTTGGAAAAGACAGAAGATCGGCTATGTAGCCAGTGAACCTATCCTGGAAAATCGGTCCAGTCGTTACAGAAACTTCATAGAACAGAATAATGTAAAATAATAATCCTATTCTTCACTGAAATCGTGGAGATGATATGATGTTCAGGTGGTGGAAAGTTTTCGGGAAAGCCAGTCAACGTTTGTGTCTTCTTTCGATTCAAATGAAAATAAGGATGAGGGAAAGGAATGCCCACATGATGTTTTCAGTTAGCTGGGAAGGTTATTTAGATTTCAACTCTTTTAGTGTTAGTATTAACTTTTTTTGATTAGAATGCTTTTAACGGCTCATTTTTATGCATTCCTAGGTTGAAGAAGCAGCTAAATTAGCGCATATTCATGAATTCATCACACGTGACTTACCCTATGGATATGATACACAAGTTGGTCAAGGTACTGGTTCAACAGCTGGTTTAAGTGGTGGTCAACGTCAACGAATAGCTATAGCACGTGTTCTATTGAAAAATGCTCCAATTTTATTAATGGATGAAGCTACATCAGCTTTAGATGCAGAATCTGAAGCTAAAGTACAAGAAGCATTAAATTTTGCTATGAAAAGTTAGTTGATTTAATTGATTGAACGTCTGTATTCTCTCGTATCAGTCTTTCATTTCTGCATAATCAGCTTACAACACCAATCAAGTATTTATGTGAATGTTTGAAGATGAAAAGTTAAGCTTTTGAATTGCTCTGTGTCTTGTCAGCTTTTGTTTTCGTTTCAATTCTGAGTGGGAGCAGAGGGATTCAAGGCTTAAGCTCTGGAGTTTCAGTAGCGATGGTGTTGTGTTGTTTTTGTAACAACTAAAGACAAGAGCCAGGCTACAGATCGTTTATTTAGGAAATCAACAGATATTTATAGTTTTTCATGTACATTATTATAGATACTTGTAATCAAACAAAACAGTCTTCTGATTAGTGGTTTCTCGCTGAACGTTAATCTTTCATCTCTATGTGACTGTCTATTGAAGTCCAGATAATCTCTCTCTGAAAATTGTATCCGCCTACGCAAAGTCTTCTGTGATTGGTTGTTGAATCTGTCTTTGTCCTTGTTTTTTCTCACTACCGAAATTAGGGACGTAAATATTAACGCAAATTACTGTCTACTAATTTGGCTAGCCACCACATTTTTACGGGGTAGGGTTGCTGTTCTCATGCCAAATCTTCCCTCTTTTCTGGGAACGCTACCGGCTATTAAACTAGGCGAGGTTTAAAGAGTGTATCGACCGGAAATTAAATCCAGGATCACACGAATAGCCGGTGAGCATCCTAAAACTGAACCACCGACGACTGTCTTATCAATCAACCTGTGAAAACGATAACTAGTAACAAACTATACGAATAGCGAATTAATTGATGTCATCAGTAGCAATATTTTTGAAATATTTCTTCCATATTTTATGATAAAACCGAGCAGCAATTAGTATTGTAGTCATATGTAACGCTGTATTTAAAATAGGAAGATTGCTTAGTGGGGTTGTGGCGATTCCAAGAATGATGTCTCACCGGGATGTTGTACGCCCACTTGTGAATGTTTGAAAAAGCTAGAATTCAGTTACCTCCGTAACAGACGTTTCATGTACTAAATATTGAGTCATGTATGTCTGAGAACTACCTTTGAGATTTGATTCGGTCCATCACCTTTCATTTTTTGTACATTCCTGACATATACATCCATTTAACTTGATTGTATCAGTTTTGCGATTTCAGCTGTATGGATTAAGTAAATTCAGACAATTGACCATAGATGTTTCCGTTCCATCTCTTGTCTTAAGTGGTTGGTATAATACGATGGGCAGTACTAAAGTTGGGCGTTTAGGGTTGGATAAGGAGGCTAAGTTAATCGATAAAATCTTGAGGCTTCGTCATTTGAGATATTTGAGACACGTGTTGCATACATCAAGTCACCATTTTTCATAGACGGGCAATATTAGCTGACATGGGATTAGTTTGGAAAAGGGTTCGGGGTGGTCAAATCAAAACCTATCATGAATCCATGACATCTACACGTAATTAGGTATAGACTGCCTGAGTTGAGTATGGTCTTCTGGATACTAAGAACTAATGGTGTGAGACTGTTGGTGATATGACTGGAAATGGTTGTCGGTGGCGCAGATGCTTCCACTCTCTGTAATCTCTCAGATTCATTAAATCTTTATATTTTTTCTGTGTCTCTATTCTTTTTCCGTACATTTGAGCTTATTGTAGTCCTTTTGAATATCACTTTGCTCTGCCTTTGTGTGGAGTGTGACAACTTAAACTGCTGCACTTCTGTACAAAGTCCTACACTGGTACTCAGTCAGCCAAAGGATTGGTTTGAACCCCCACACAGTGTTTTAGTGATTGTAGTTTGGTTAGTAATGATTGCACTTCACTCTTGAATGAGGAGTTTTGCATCTAAGTCCCGTTACAGTTACTTTAGCCTTGGTATCATGACAATAGGGTTATTTTTCGCACTTCAAATGCAGCTGGCAGATCAATACCTCAAGCAAACTTTTACCTGGTAACTACGTCGCAGTAGGTGCTCTGATTTACATTTTTAACCAGTGACTGATGGGTTCAGATTGCACTTCATCTACTGGTAGTCAGACAGCCAGATAGTAACACTAGCTTTCACATTTTGAATATAATACGCCACCTAGCTTGCAAATATGCACATAGTTTTTGATAGGCAACAATTATTACGTTCATTTGTGTTCTTTGTGTTCTATCTATTTTCTAACTATACTTATGTGGCTACTAACCTATTATTCAGTAGTTGGATTGAGATAAAGTGAAATATTTTTGTAAAGTATCTTCACGGAAGTGTAGTTTCCTTTGGGAGGGACAACGCATACATCTGTTGTCCATTATACACCGGATAAACTCCTTCTTTCATCAGTCATTCTTGTCGTTGAGATGTTAAGAACCGATGGCTTGAGAATGTTGGCGTTATGATTCAAAATTGTTGTCAGTGACGCCCGTTCATTAACTTTTAATATTCTCTCAGATCTCTTGAGTCCTCATGTCAATTTCTTCTCCCAAACATTTCTGTTTGTCATAGTTTTTTTTTAAGTTTTTTTCTCTACCTTTGTGTACTTATCGAGTATGGCAAGACGAATTGCTGCAATGCTATACAAAGTTCGATGTTGAAAATCGTTTAGACATCTTTTTGTCATTACATATTTATGTCTTGTATTTTTACTTAACTAACCTATTGTTCACCATGTTCATGTGTTACCTAATATATCTGGATACTTCTTATCCCTATGCTATTTCTTTATTTGCCCCTAATTTCTCAAAATTTTCGTGTTACACAATCTTTCGTGTAAGCTCACTAATTTTTCACACACTTAGTTACATTCTGATTGATCTTCATTATTCCGAGGTATTTTGATGTTGTGAACGGCATTCCACGCTAAATGTAGATATTCACAAATAATTATTTTTAAAGTATTGGTTTTACAGGGATTTTGTTTAGTTAGATGGAAAATTTCGCCATGAGGAGACATCAGTTAGAGAACCACTGGAAAACCTGGGAGTACTGAAAATCTATTTCCTCGTAGTTAATCTGATGCTCACTAGCGATTGGCCCTATTCAGGCAGTGACCCGAGGTTCTAGCGGGAAGTCGTGATCAGTAGGGTGGAGCAGGCTGAAGATGAGACAGTAACTCATCGAAGAAGACATTGCGAAAATGGTCGCGCTATGTCGTGAATAGGCAGAAGTTAGAATTCATGGGGTATCGGATCGGGTCCCAGTGGCTCAGTGGCCTACGAGCTCGCCTTTTAACGAGACGGTCCTGGATTCGAATACTGGAGGTGGGTGCGTACTGATGAAGAGTCCCAAACTAGGCTGACGAAACAGCTGTCCAGTACTCCCAGCTGGTTTTTCAGTGGTTCTCTAACTGATGTCAGGTCATGATGAAATCCTCCATCCAATCAAACAAATCCCTACAAAACCAATACTTGAGAATGCATTATAGTTAGAAGTCAGCAGTAATATGATTGACGCATCGGCTAAGACAGAATTAAATTAGAAAGCATATCATCAACGTATGGAATAATTAATTATGGTTATGATTGACTTAAGGAGATTCAGGTTGTGTTGACAGGCTGTCTGGGTCAAAATCATTCACACTTACGCAGTTGTATTCATTTCTTATAATTTTTGAAGTTTCGACTGCCTTTAAAAATCTTTATCAAAATATTAGCTGTCACCTAGATGTTTCAATGTTGGTTTCGTCACGAACCAACATTAGTTAGGGAATATCAGTGAGAGCTTGGGAGTACCTAACAGCTATTTCGCCCTGGTCTGTGACTCTTCAGCAGTATGCACCCGTAGTCCCACCAGGGATCCGAACTAGGACATTCAAGGTACGAAACCAAGCTGGTGGTTGAATATTCAGCCGATTGGCCCTGGAATTCAGTGTTCTATTTTGAGGTATCACAACTTGAACTGATGATCATTTTTTTGTATGTGAGTGTGAAAGTATGTCCTGTGAAAAGTAAGTAGAGTTTTTCTTATCAACCTTTTCAAAGCGATCATACTCAGTGCTTACTTTGTTTCGTTTTTATTCTACGTTTGCCTTCTTTTTAGATCGTACAGTCTTAATCATTGCACATCGATTGAGTACAGTACGTAAAGCTGATCTGATCCTGGTTATGTCTAGAGGACAAATAGTTGAGGTAATTTATGCATTTATTTATTTATTCATTATTACTATAATATTAGCGTTTATATCTATGTACACTTGCGTGATATGGCTGTTAGTGTTTTCGAAACATTTCTGGGCATATAATGATTTTAGATGTTTGTAGGTGAAAAGTGTGTAATTTTGCATAGGTCAGGTTAACTCAGTCGTGTATGTTGGCTTCTGTTCCGCCGTCAATAATCCAATAATGGTTGCAGGATTTCATTATGAGCTGACATCGGTTAGAGAACCATCGGAAAACCTGGGAGTACTGGACAGCCGCTTCGCCCCAGTTTGGGACTCTTCATCAGTGCGCATCCACCAGTGGTTTTCTAACCGATTTCAACGCATGATGAAATCCTGCAACAAATCAATAATTGAGTCCAATAATGATTGAATCGTATCAAGTTCTCCTCATGAATTGATAGTATTTTTGTTGCTCAATCTCTCATATAAAGTTGTATGCTGTGCTTCGTTGAAAAATACCCTGATCAGAGTGAAATAAATGATTAATGTTCATTACTGTTCAGTCGGTACGAATGAATGAGTAGTTGAATACCAGTTACATCAATCAGTAATGTTTTCTAGCTAGACTGAAGCGATTTAAACACTGGATTACTGTTTAGCTCTTTTGGTGCCGAGTTCATCAGTGGTGTACCTGGTTTAAATTACCTCGAAGATTCGAATCAGTTCATGCCATCCAATTTCTGGTTAACCTTTTTTGACGAACTGGTAGTACAATGAGTCGAGATCACCTATTTCTATATCTGGATTGCAAGCACTGCTAGTTGATACGAATTGCATCTAACTACTCATATTGATTGATCAGTACTATATTGAAATTTGAGGAAATTCCACCCTGAGCTTGTAATTAGTTTTTGCTGGCTGATGATTGGATCAAACGACTATGCTTTTTTATAGCTTTATAACATATTAGGTGGTGCTCCATTGTTTTATAAGGGGGCAACGCAAATACTTTTAATGTACTAGCTGTTCAGTATCCTGTTTGTCAAGAGACAGGATATGAATTTTACTCTGAGGCGTCATGATAATCAATGATACCGGGGAGTAAGTCTAAATTAAGATAGGATTTAAACTCAGTGGTCTTAGGTCAACTAATTCAATGCCCTATTACTGACCGAGTTACTACACCTATGTATTTGCCAGGTCTTCCTTTGGAATCCAGTTACCAAGAGTTATACTTACCTATTGTATGATTGAGTGATGTGTGTCCTTTATCTAGTCTGTGCGATTCTTATTACAATGAACTAAGAGTTGGGAGTGGGTCGAGGGGGGAAGTAATGGATTGATCATTGAGGATAAGACCATTTGAGATCCTCTTTTCATTTTAGTACAATGAACTGACGCCTGCACCTTGGTTAATAAATTGTATTAGAACCTTAACTGATGTGACTCAAACTATTCATCGCAACTTCTTCGTAATAATTATGTGGAGTTGTGGTTCATTGCTGTTGTTGCCACTCAACTTCCAACTAGTATAGTGGATCACAAGTTCGAACACCGCTCCACCCACGAAGGTTTGAACAGTGTGGTTGTATGGTCGTTAGCCTACATCGGGTAACGCAATGACTTCAGTAAGGGAACCATTGAAAACCAGGTAGTGTCATATAGCTGTTTCATCCTAGTTTAGAATTGTTCAGAACAGTAGTCACTCACGGCAGCATCCACGACAGACATCGGACGCAGTACCTTCAAGTTGAAGGGTGATCTCGTTGACTATTCAGTCAGTGATACGGAATTCAGTCACTTATGATGACGACTGACGGTTGCGTTATATATCACGAATTGTTAGAAGTCAGAATTGATAAGCTGTTGAATTCAGTACTAGTGGCATAATAATCAAGTAGCTCTCCTTGAAACCTCCTGAAAAACTCATGGGAAAGGGGAAGCTGAAGAGTCACAAACAAGGATGAAATAGCTGTCAATTAAATATCATCGATATAAGTATAAAACTTGGACACTGTGGTAGAGTATAACTCCACTACAGATAAAATTTTATTTTTATAAATCATACAGTGATGTTATACAGTAATATTAACTGATGACCATGTTTCGAGCACAAGCTATTGCTGCTCATAATCATATCAAGTCACTCACACAAATTTTTCCCTTCATTTTTATATACATGTGTGGAATCGATTAGATATTAGAATAAAAATCAGTATGAGATAATGTACATTCAGAAAATAATAATAATACGAGTGTTATTGATCAATTACAATCAGATAGGAAATAAGACGAGTGTTTTTATAGTCAAAATAAGTAACTTGTTAGAATGTTGTATGTAAGTGAATTGAAATAGAATTTTAAGCCATCTACAGTTATCTCATATAAGGAGGGGACATCTGAGACCCTACGTAGGATTATCACTAAAGCAGGAATTAGGGTGGCATTCAAACCTACAAACTCTCTACTGAGATAGGACAAGCTATGTAGGCTAAAAGACCTGGTGGATCCAATTAAACAAAATAATATAATTTACAAAGCACCTTGCAATGGACTGTGATTTAGGTGAAATACATAGGTCAAACTAGGAGGTCAGGAGTAGTGAAATTATCAGAACATAGCTATGGTTAGAATGATTGATCCCATGAAGATAAGTAATTTAGATAAAAAAAAAACTCAGCAATCACACTGCATTCATTAACACACAACCATACAATAGAGTGGGACAGAGAGAAATCGATTACTGAATCCTGGTTCATCAATTCAATCTACACCCAACACATGCAACAGAAATGACTCAATGCAAATACCAGAGATATGAAGATATTATTACCATCAGTCAGTCAAATCAGGAGGATAATAAATAATCTTAAGATTCTATTTCAATTCACTTACATCACAACATTCTAACAAGTTACTTATTTTGACTATAAAAACACTCGTCTTATTTCCTATCTGATTGTAATTGATCAATAACACTCGTATTATTATTATTATTTCTGAATGTACATTATCTCATACTGATTTTTATTCCAATATCTAATCGATTCCACACATGTATATAAATGAAGGGAAAAATTTGTGTGACTTGATATGATTATGAGCAGCAATAGCTTGTGCTCGAAACATGGTCATCAGTTAATATTACTGTATAACATCACTGTATGATTTATAAAAATAAAACCTTATCCATAATGGAGCAATAAAATATCAATCTAATACAGCAAAAACTGTGTCAAATAGTCTGACCAGTAATCTAATTTACTTATTATTATTAATGATTAATCATTTCAATTTATTTCCTTTCTTAGAACTTTTATTGAATAAATTAAATGTGTCACTTAGAAAATTATTCATAGTTTGTAAACATTTATATCATTACTCGTTTATACATACATATACGTAAATAAATATATATTTGATGTATTATTTAAGGTCAGTTGGCTTTTAAGAGAAGGTCATTTGAGATTACTTCAACGTAGTTTTATAAAACAAAAATCGCAATTCACTTTTTTCAATTCACCGGAAATATGAATTAGTTGTTCAGTTTAAGCTGAAATATTCTATAAATTCTCAGTATTTTTCACATACAATCTCAAACATTAAGTTGCTTTCTTTCAATGAAAATAAAGGGAGCTTGTAAAGCGTACAATGTCCCAACTCACAAATTCATGGTAATCGAAATCTTCTGTTTGTTTTAAGATCCTACGTAGGTTTCTTTGTTTTAAGCACATTTTAACTCAGAGTTAGACACAGTTCAAGGTTTGATCATGACTGTTTCGTCCCAGTTTGCGACTCTTCACAGTACGCCACCATTGGGGTTACAAAGCGAGACCATCAGACACTTGGGTGGGATTCACTGGCTTTTGAATTCCAACTTCTACCAATGTATGCTTTTAGTGCGACTACCAGCTACCATCTTTGGTGAGTTTACTTCTTCACTGCCGGTTGGGTGGACTCCATTGATCACAACTTCCCACTAGAAATCCAATCGACTCCGTCCTGTAACCAGTCGCACTAGTGTGCATCCAATTGATGTCCAAGAGTCAGTCTATTGTTCTTTAGCTGACATCAATCCGTGATCAAACGTGAAGCATATCAAATCCCTACAAACTAACTTTCGCAATTCAATTTTACTTTGTAATTTAAAAAAGTTGGCTGGGGATAAGGTTGATTACAAGGCGTTTTCCCGCGTAATATATAGCAAACGGTACGACAGAATATTCCAGCTGCATAAAAAAGATATCGAAAAAAACCACTTTTAAAACAGATAAATGTAACAACCTGTAAGCACGTAATACAAAACTACGTAAGATCATCCACTACCTGAGGAAATTCAGATCTCAGTTTTACTAAGTCTTGTGTGCGGTAAAATAGTTTTGTTATAACTTATATACCCACGCGTTGACAACTGCGTAATATAGAAAGTATTATTTGGGTAGAAACTGAAATAAAATTGAGTAAGTCGAGTGGTGTCACTGTAGTGACAGAATGAGTAGAACTCAAGTAAAATCGATGCGGCTCGTCAAGTTTGAGGTCAGTCTCTTAAAGGGTATAATGGGAAAGAAGAGAAATTAATAAAATTAGAAAAAAGAAAAATTGAAGTAGAATTAGCAAATATTAAGTATCAAACGTTGAAACAAATTGCATCCGTTGTAGGTTCAGTTTACTGAATTATAAAAAGGAGATAAGAATAGGCATTCTTGAACGCTGAGGTTTACATAATAATCTACAGTTTGAAACATTTGTGAAGACTGCAACTCACTCCACTTTATGTCACTGAAATTTACATCATACTAATCAAAGCACTCCATTCGAACTCAGACAGCTGTCTAATGGCTTACCGAGAGTTGTCATTTGAATTGATAACAACCCGCAATGTGTCCGTCAGGTATACCCACTGTCCCCTATCTTGTTTCTGTCTGTCTGTCTGTTTTCGACGTAGAACTTTGCACAAATGTGCGGAAGTTCAAGTCGCCACATTCCGTGTAGCACGCGAAGCAAGAGAAGAAAGTACAAGAAAAGCAT